TTGAACTAAAAAGACTCCAATCTCAGAATTTGTCTGGTTCTCAGCCAGACCTCACAAACTGAGGTCTGAGAAACCTCCTCCCTGAGAAGTGAAGGTTTCAACATAAACTATACAAACTGCTCATCACCCTTAGGATAAACTTGAAGGCTGCAGTCCTTGACCTTCTTTTTGCCCAGTATACCCCACCCCAGTCTCCCTGATCCTTGGGCATTCACAACCACCAGTGTGTCCCTTGGGGGTTCCCCAGCACACACAGCCAACACCTGAATTTAGTCTTCAATATGACCTTAGTAAGCACACACATTCCTGTGAGCAGAGATTCAAAATTCCCTGTTCCCCAACACGTCTAATCCCAAAATCATCACAATCTGCCTCTAAGATGCCTGAAAGTAATTCACTTATTCACTCAGCTAGTGTGTTTTAAACTGCTCCTTTGTTGGGGACTCTCAGCTGTAGTTTCATGGATTTATGGGATTGGTGCACTCTCCATGGACAGAGGGACTGTGTGCTCATTCACAAAAGCTGTCAAAACAGCTCTAGGGAAGAAGTTCAAATGAAGTGGGGGATATTCCTGTAAAATACTGGCAATATGGTATGATTATATACCTTAACATACTCCTGTAAATCAAGAAATATTGAGGTCTCCCTAAGATCCTCACGACGAGAAATACTCAAAAAAGGGTTGCACTTTAAAACTTGACATCTTACCCAGGATTCTCAAACTCACTTTCTACACAATTAAAATCAACAAGGGACTGCTGAACAGTCTCTTTTTTAGACTCTGATTACAAAGCAAAATGAAATATATGCCTGCAGCATAAGCCCTAATAGCTGATTTATTTTTTTATAATCCAAGTGCCTACCATTGATTAAGCTTTGATTGACTAGGTATTCATGCAAAGCTAAATACTATCAAGAATTAACACTTTGCCAGCACATAAACAAAGAGCCGGGTGCCTCCCCAAGTCTCCCCACCATGGAGCCTCCTTGTATTAGAGGTCTTGGTTGATTTCAATAACCGACCATTTAAGCCTCTTGTGTTTTTTCTCTTCCAATCCTTTAAATTCTGATTCTAATTTTTCATTCAACAACAAAGAGTGATATCCTAAGTTTTTTCTCTCTGTCCCAATAAAGGTAATATCCCTGATCCATTCTCTCTCTCTCTCTCTCTCTCTCTCTCTCCTACTCTCCCGCCCCTCCTCCCTCTCGCTTTCTCTCTTCTCCTTTCCTCTTTCTCTCCCCGTGACCTTGTTCTGTGGCGCCAGATATGCTGTGTCATTTCCAAGTTCTATGAGTTATAAACCTTTACTTTTCAAATATTTCCTGATGGTTATTGCTGAAGAGTATCTTGCAACCATAATCAGAACCACAAATCCAGTTGAACCACAACATAGATTATTAATAGATTATTAATAGGTTATTG